GGATGGCCAAGATTTAATCTTGCAATCTTAAGATCAATGGCTAGGATTTGTTCTTAAACTCTATAAATACACCCTCTCCTCCCCCCTCATTTTGTCTAAGCTCAAGGGAACCATAAGGAAACTTTTACAAAATGAATTCTAGAAAAAGAAAGAAGAAGGAAAGGGAAAGGTCATGTGACCCCATACAAGATCAAGCTCTGAAACAAGATAAGTTCATGGTTTTTGATGTAGTTTTCACTACCCTTGTTGTTATTGAGCTTGGTCATGAATTTTAATGATCTTTGGGAGCTTGAAACCCTTGGGGGATATGCTTCACAAAATTATTAAGAATAGGGAAAGACAAAATTGATGTTAAAATAATGTTTAAAGACTTGAAAGGAACAAGAATCAAGTGGTTTTATGTTGAAGTTGGTTGAATTTCATGACTATGTAACTTGAGTAATATTTTGGTCAAGGCTAGTTCATGGGGAAGGAGTTTGATTTTGATTATTTTGAGCTTGGAAATGGATTTTACATGCAAAATTATGTGGGAATAGCATGTGGAATTAATTTTAGAAAGGTTGGAAATCAAGCTCAAAAGTTAAAAAGCTAATATAGCTCAAAGAAAACAAAATATTGATGTTGTTGATTACCATGGCTCTAATGAATAAATGAAAACAATGTGTTGGTGCATTTAGGGCCGTGAGACATCAAGGAAAATGAAAAGAAAAGGTTGAGCAAGCAACCTTAATGGCTGGAAGCAAAAGGGAGCAGGATGAAATCTTAAGGATACAAGGTAGTGAACTTACCTTTCTTGTATACTTGATGTGCATGTTTGTGTGTTGATGTGCATTATGTGATTGGATGATGTTATGAAATGGTGATGCTAGCACAATGCTTTATTTCAATTGTGTTTTCCATGGCCATACATATTAGTATGAAACATTGAGCATGAGAATATGTTATGAGTAAGCATGAGTTAGATCAAGTAAGGATGTCATACACTTGCATCCACCTTGCATGTATTGATGGTAATGTTTACTATTGAAATTCTTCTGAATCTCACCCTTCCTTAACTAACCATAATAGGTGATAATGATCAGGCAAATGATAAGGGAAGTAAGAAAAGAGGAAAACAATTGAAGAAAGTTATCATATTACATTGCATAGATTGTATACTAATGTATGTTATAAATGTGATATTGATGGTATGTGATAATAAGTGATGACAACGGCTTGTATAATTGGCTATGATACTGTATGGGAATAGTTTATGGATTGATGGAATGGTATTATGTAAGGAAAGAATTAATTATGAATTATTAATGTAAGTTAAGGAGATACAACATCTCTAAAGGAGTCACAAATTAGTGACACAGTGAAGGTGAGGCAAACAATTGATTCTGCCTGTGAAATTTGGTATGGTTAAAGTTCACATCCTAAAATTTAAAAGAAGTAGTAGATCACTTAAAATAGATGTGTGTGCTAAGAGTTATGTTTGATCAAATTTAGGATAGAGAAACTTGAACATACAATGTTAACTAAATGAATAGTAAACTTTAATAAATAAACTATACGAATTGGTAAGGGTTAAGTTCAATTTTATATTTTTTTTTTTCCTGTAGAGATCGAAAGAGTTTCAAATAGAATTTTAAACCACCTTAATACAATTTTTCTACAATTAGTTATGATTTTTCAAAATTGGACAAAAAATCTAGAATTCAATTAGTGAACAGTAACCCGAAAACCAATTGTAAATTTTCAATCTACGGGCTTATTTCGAGAACCGCTTGAATCGTAACACTTCCAAATGCATACTCTGAGGGGTTAAAGGAAAGGTGTTTCAGAAGCCTAATGGAAAATCAGTTAACAAAGAATAGTACCAGCTACTTGTAGGGAAGCTAATTTACTTGTCCCACACTAGGCCAAACATATCATTTGTAGTAGGGGTAGTGAGTTAGTTTGCAAACAACTCTAAAAAAGAACACATGGAAGAAATACATAGAATCCTTAGATACCTAAAAGCTACTCCCAGTAAAGGTCTTTTATTTGCTAAAGGAGGATGACAAAATGTAGAGATCTACATAGATGGCACCAAAAGAACCCTAAGCATAGAGAGAGACAAAGATATAGAAGTCTACACTGATACTGATCGGGTAAGAGCTATTAATGACTGATGCTCTACCACTAGGTATTGCACATTTGTGTGGGGAAATCTTGTAACATAGAGAAGCAGGAAGTAACCAAATTGTATCAAGAAGCTCAACTGAATCTGAATATAGAGCTCTAGCTCTTAGCATTTGTAAAGGGATATGGGTAGTACCTGTGTTAAAAGAACTCGGCATGGGAATAAAAACACAAATCAAAATATGGTGTGATAATATGGCTGCACTCAAGATTGCAAACAATCCTGTCCAACATGACCAAACAAAACATGTTGAAATTGACTACCATTTCATTAAGGAGAAGATTGAAGTCGATCTAACTTGCATTCTTTCTGGAAGACAGATTGCGAATGTGATGACCAAACCTTTGGTCAATAACAAGTTTGACGAGTTGACTAGTAAGCTGGGAATGATTAATATCTATTCTCCAACTTGAGGGGGAGTACCAGAAATCGGCCCTAGGGTAATGCCCATTTAGCTTTTGACCTAGAATTAATCACAATTATGTATTTTGATTTTCTACCCTTTAGAAACCTGATTCTTAGGCGCTAATATAGGGATTATAGAATATATTTCTTTCCTGTTTTATTTCCTCATTAATTCTAGAGGACTTCATGCGATATGCTGAATCACTCCTTTTCCTATATGTATCACTCAATTCTATAGAATAATATACAACCTTCTGTACACAAACTATCAGATAATGTATTGTACAATGTAAAAGCTTTACCAAGTAACATCCTGAATACCTGTCAGAGGCTTGCTAGGACTATGATGCAAGGGGTTCGTTTGAGTAGTAGACAAGATTCATGGAAGCTATCACCAGAAAGATGGCGCCTTGTCACACGTATACCCTGTGGGAGACTCTTTTGTGATGATCAAGGGCGATCTTTGAAAGGCTTTGTGCACAAACTAGATGATGGAGAGGTAGTGACTATGGAGCTGTCATGATGCCTTTAGGGAGCTAACTTGGGATGACAATCATCAGAAAGTGACCTTAGAGTCAGACTCAACAAATGTGATAGAACTTGTATAGGGTACGCTTGATATAAGAAGAATTGTACAGACAGGCTAGAATATAGGATAGAATGAGACTATAAGAGAACTTGCCTCTTTTAACCACAAACACAAGAAATTGAATTGATGATTAAAGTAGGACCTTAAAAGAACCTGTCTCTTACAATCCTAGTCATGAAGATATCACAAGGTTAATCAATCCCTTGATATTGTCGAGTATTCACAAGAGAATACAAGAATGTAAGCAAAGTTGACACAAAGAGAAATAAAATTCTTATATTATTAATAATTCAAATCATCTCTGTCTGCAAATTACAAAAAAAAAAAAGTAGCCTGTTATAGGCAACCATAGAATACTCTAGAATCATAATCCTAAGACATAAATGCTAAGAAGATACCTCATTAATGATTATTTGACTATAAGAGGCACCATTTAATACATAAAGATAAAAAAATTAGCTAAACTTCAAAAACAAATCTGCTATCCCAAAAGAGGAAATTGAATCAAAACACAATTTTCTAGAATAATCATTGACTAAAAGGCCTTATTTAAAGCAAATAGGAAGGAAAACTCTCTAAAAATGAAATTAAATCATGACTAGTGCATAATGACGCCTTCTACATGCTTTTTGAATATTTTTAGACATTACGTATGATCTTGTCTAAGGCACATGCTTCTCATATGATATTTTAAATGAATTCTTTAATTTGGACTTCATATGGATCTTGTACATCATTTTGGACTTTTGTTGGGCTCACTAAATCATGTCTTGTCATTATTTGAGTAATGATCAATATCTTCCTCCAAACAAACATTCTAAAGTTATAAATTTTTTGAATACTTTGGAGCGTTCGTTGAGTTTCTAACAAGATGAATGCTTCCTAAATTTCAAGACCTCAATATTAACCGCCTCCTAGTATGATATCAACCACTGATGAGAATCATGCATACCATGATATCATCTGAGAGATATAGCTGCTACTAAACAGGAATTGGGATGTTCAAGCGCACTACGCACCACGAAGCAACACCAAACATGTTGACTTCCTCGTAAAGCCGAGACTTGCTGCCGCTCATGGCTTCCACGTTATCATGCGTCCTCTCAAGAAGTTGGCTAAACTCTTGGATGAGGATTGTATGCCTGCTTATGCTAGGCATGATCTTTTTCAAATAAGGCTTCCTTTGTTATTAAAAAAAAAAAAATCACTAAACTACCAGGGGAGTGTGATTGAGCAGTAGGACCTTATCCTCCCTTAACCAAGGTCGGGAGTTCAATTCTTGCTTAGGCATGAAAAGCATTAAATCGCTTAGGATACTAGATGAGGTCACTTAAAAAAAAAAAAAAAACTAAACAAGTTTTTTTAAATAAAAAATGTTTAAAAAAAAAAACAAGGCCTAGATTTTTTTGGGAAAAAAAACTATTTTCAGGTAACTCTCACAACTCTCTCAATTTTTAATTTAATATGTGTGTTTTTTTTCTCTTAATTAAATACTCTAATTTTACTCTACTAATACTGTTAGATTTTGTAATTTTCTTCTGTTAATACTATTAACTCCTATATGTAGAGTTTTTAATTTAGAATATAAAAAAATGACAGAAAAAAAAGTTGGAAATTACAAATCTCAAATCGAGTTTGGTAACATAACTTTATTTGATATTGACAAGTCTAAATTTGCAAATGACAAAAAAAAATTTGTTGACATTCTTTATTTGGTATTTACAAAATTTCAGCTTTTTTTTTTGTTATTATCCAAAAAAAACATAACAAATTAAAATAAAAATAAATTACAGTACCCGCAAAATGCCTTCTTTTTTATTTCCGGTCACGTGCGGAAGATGATTGATTCCCATTTTCGCCTGAGCTTCTTAGTACACTCAAACCCTCCACTCTGCTATTACCATTCACGACCACCATGCCTGAAGCTGACCCGAAAAGCCATTCCTCTTCTCCTGCTCCTTCTTCGTCTTCTTCAAATGGGGTACCCTCTGAAATCAGAAGTGGCCATTCCAACAATCACGGTTCAAACCAGTTCTCGGGCCACAAGGCTCATTATCCGAACCCACCTGATGCTGTGAATCCGGACGCTGCTACTCTCAGAGATCAATGGAGGTATGCCATTAAACAATACAGTAGATGGTACTCTCATGCTTGGGGCACTGCTATTCTTGCTGGGGCCGCCTTCTTTGCCCTTGGATGGGTCATCAAAGGCGGGAATCCCTTACCCTCTTTCCGCGCTGAGGAATCTTCGCCTACATCTTCCTCTGATTCGGAGAAACCTCGCTAGTAATGAAAAGGTGGTGAGTTTCCTCAGTTTGGTGCTTTGTTTAATGTTTGTGATTTAGGGGTTTGGAGGTTTTATTTCGGTTCTGCGATTGTTTGTTAGATGGTGCTATTGGGGTTTGCGTGAATTCAGTCTTTGATTTCCTGCGTTTCGTCTATTGGATTTTAATTTTAAAATTGATGCTTCCGCGATTGTCGTCGATTCGACTTTGGAGTTATGGGACTTGAGTTGGGTTTCATTACCAAGCAGGATATTAGTTTTTTGCAGCCATTCAGTTATTAGGCCTATTGGATGGATTTGTCTACTAGAAACATAATTTTCTATAGAAATCATGTTATACTGCTCCAGCGAATTGATAGAGTTGTTCTGAATGAAGAAGCGGCATTATGAAGTCATTTGCTTTATAATCCGAAGGATATATAGATGATGATAATGATAACAACAGAATAAATTTCAATTGTATAGGGTGAAGTCTGCTTCCAATTGCTTAGTCAGTTTTTGTTGGCCATTAATTGCTTAATCATTTACCATTAGGCCATCAATATTTGTCTCGAGGCATGTCTTCCTTGCTAATTTGCACTTCTCAATTCGCGTGGATGAGTCCTCGGAGACACATGATAATATGCTCCAATATCTACATTTCTCACCATATGTTCATTGTTTTGAATACTGCTACAAAGTTTTAGAGGGTGGGTGGAATCAAGTAATTGTCATCATGGATAGCCACACCATATCTTCATTAGAAATTGGTTAGTTACCCCCCCCCCCCCAAACATGAAAACCTCTGGTGGGTCATAAGTGAATAATTCTTTCCGAGAACCCACATACCAAAATCCAGTTTAAGAGGGCTAGTAGCCATTTGCCATCCTTGGGGAGATTTCTGGTAGGAACACTCTTATGCTCAAAGTTAATCCTTTTCATTTCTCCTGAGAAATACTAGGGTTGGATGTTCAGTTTCGTCTTTTGCTAAATTTTTATGGCCTTTTCTTCTTTCATTGCACTGAAAATGTATTATGCATTGGTATGCCCATCAGAAGCTTCCTTTACCTGCTCTTTATGTTGGGTGCATATATTGAGCCTCATGCATATTATGTGACATGCTATAAGGTGGTATTCTCAATTTACTCTGTTTTTGGTTGCATTAATGCATAACACGCTCCATGCTACAAGGTCTGAATCAATGGCTTTATGCATTTTGAAGGTTTAGCAACATTGTTTATTGGCATACTCCTAGTGCAGCCCAAATATTTCAAGACATTATGCCCATACATTAAGAAGACAAGTTATGCTGGCGCTGATATTGTATTTGTGCTGATGATTGATTTTACTATCTACACTTTTGAGGGAACGAGTTGAGTGCCTAATTTCATTCCGCCACTCGCATTTAACAGGAATGATACTTTACAAAATTTTTGAACATGCCTGGTTCACATGTTCGAAGACATTGGTTTTTATGTCTTATGACCACTTGAGCAAACTTTTTTGTTCTGTTAATTATAATTACGATATCAGAAATTAAAGTTACTCATCAATCCTTGATGAGCAAGATTACTAATGAAGAGGTTGTGTTTTTTGTCTTATGAGGTTTTACCACTTGATTTGCCTCCTGGTAATCACAGCGAAACCTAGTGGAGTCATACATCATGAGTTTACATGTGAATTGAATTTAACCTTCTAATTTAGGTTAGAAGCCTGAAATACAAAGATTAGATTATAATTTTGGTTATAAAGGAGGCTCAAACCATTGGGAGCATGAAGTGGGCAAATGGGCGAGGGTGGGGATTGATATTGAACCCTTGATGTCAAGCACATCTCAATCTTAAAAGTAAATGATGGTCGTGTGAACATCAGCTCAGTCACAATTAAGTTAAAATTTGATTATGTCAGGATTGAACCACAATTTATCTTTTTTCCCTCAAATTATTTCCTTTGTTATCTCATGACTAACTTCTTTCTGCCTTGATACAAAGCAAAATTGTTTTTTGATAATTATTTTTCCAGATATTGTCTCTGAAGGATACCAAATTTCAGGTGCCATCTAGCACAATTGCATTTAGTTAACAGTGCCCTGCAGGCTTACCTCGCTCATAATGCCATCTGAGAGTTTTGAATCTCGTGAAACTTTTGCTTTCTGGGTTTCTACGTTTTGTTCTTGTACCAATGATTGTATCAGTCTGGGTGTTTAGTGTTTAATTTGGTAATAAAGCTGAGGAAAATCTGTATATATTCAAATGCTTCATATCGCAGCGTGCGCCATGAATAATTCGGGCAGATTACCAGCTCCCTCTGTTTTTTTTTTTTTTTTTTTTTGGGGAATACTGTGGCAATGAAAAATCAGAAGGTTAGTTTAGGTAATCTCGAGCCTGATGCTCTTAACCATTGTCAACAGAAAGAGCTCTCTTTGCATTGGGGCTCATCAGAAACAAGAAAATCATTACTATATACTCATTCAGTTCTTAATATAAGACTTAATTGTTAAATTAATTTTGGTTTTAAATATAAGATCTATTTTTCATGTTTATTAGTTTTTTTTAAATTACCTCTATAGATACTCTTCAAATAGAAGAGGGAGAGAGGATATCAAGAAAAATGATTATGATGTTTTGAAAAAAATGTCATATTTCTCATAATTAACTTGTTTAACTTTTCTAATCTAATCAAATTAGTTAAATATATTTTAGAAAAAATTAATCTTTTAATCCTTTAAATTTTAACTCAGTTATGACTTAGTCCCCCAGTATAACTCAATTCCTCAATTTTTAACTTGTTTAAAACTCAGCCCCTCAACTTTTCTTTTATAATAAATTAATCCTCATAGTATATAAGTCACTTTGAGTCATCACTTAATTATGCTATGTGGCAAAAATTCTTGCTGACATGGCTTCCAACCAAGCCCTCCTCGTTCATCATCCAAACAGTCCCTCTCGTTGTCCTTTCTTCTTGACCTCCGCCTTCGCGCCCTCACAGCATCAGCACCCATTCTCCTTCACCTATAGCTTCAATGTTTGGCCCCCCATGAGTGTTTTTCACTCCATTCCGTTGCAGCTTTCTCCATTTAACCTTCTTCTTCCTCCCCTTTCTCTGATTATTTTCAGATTTAAGAGATTTCAAAACTTGGTTCTCGGGGCTCATACATCATTCATGGCACAGGAACCCATCCTTTCAAAAGCTGAATACGTTTCGACAAGAAAGATTCACTAGATTAGAAAAAATTTGCTAACTGATTATATTAGTATCATCAGGTGGTTCTGGAAAGAATGTAATTGTGAATTTTTCGCATACATCACTCATGGCGCCCGCACATCACTCACCTCTTGCTGCTATAAATGATTTCGAAGCTTACTTTTCATCACCCATACATCACTCATGGCTGGCGGTGAAACAAACTATTGAATGGAGTGGGGGCCAAAAAAAAAAAAAAAAACCTTATGAGAGCCGAACATTGAAGCTGTAGGTAGGTGAAGGAGAATGGGTGCCGACACTGTGAGGGCGCGAAGGTGGAGGTCAAGAAGAAAGGAAAACGAGAGGGACTGTTTGGGTGATCAACGAGGATAACTTGGTTGGAAGCCACGTCGTTAAGAATTTTTGACGCGCAGCATAATTAAGTGATGACTCAAAGTGACTTATATACGATGAGGATTAATTCATTAAAAGAAAAAATTTGAGCAACTGAGTTTCAAACAAGTTAAAAGTTGAGGGACTGAGTCATACTGAGTTATAGTTGAGAGACTGAGTTATAATTGAGTTAAAATTTGAAGGACCAAAGGATTAATTTTTTCTAGGTTTTATATGAAGAATCAAAGGCTTAACTCTATGTTTGGTACCATGAGGGAATGGGAAATTTTAATAAGCTAAATTTGAAAAAAATTAAAAAATAGAGTTTAAAAGTTTTAAATTAATTTTTATTGCTCTTTTATTTTACAATTTTTCTCAATAAGGTTTTGAAATCCTGTTATTTCAATTTTTTTAATTAAACTCGTTAAATTTTTTTTTCTTTCCTTTCCTTCCCTTTCTTTTGCACTAAACGGAACCAAATTTTACATTTGTTCTCTTTTCAAATTGCGCATTTTGATTGGCAAAAAAAAAAAAAACAATTGCGCATTTTGCAAGATATTTTTTTTAATGTAAAGACAAAATACTATTAATTGAAAGACAGTACAAGCAAGAGAATCGAAAGAAGTTAAATTAACAGACTGAAAGAAGGATGCTTGCAAAGAAGATGGAGGACATCTTGAATAACCAGATTGATTTGGTCAACAAGGATATGGTTATGTTGAAACTTTTAATAGAAGACGAACTCTTAATAATAAAATGATTTTCTTAATTCTTAATTTACTATAAATTTTATGGACATTCTATCAAAATCCAATCTAAACCCTCTAATCCGCTCAAATCAATATTCGAATGTTCAAATTTTGTTTTATTTTTGTAATTTATTAATTTCGGTGGAAAGTTAATCAAAAATTGGAAAAAAAAATAAAATTTAAAATTTAAAATATGGATAATAATTTAGATGGTTAATACTTCTCTAGTCCTTAATACAAGATCTACTTAACTAATTTAATTAGATTAAGAAAGTTAAATAAAATAGTTAATTATAAATAATATGATATGTTTTTTCTAAAACACCATAATTATCTTTTTGAATATTTTTCCTTCCTCTTTTATTTGATTATAGTTGAAGGAATATCTATAAAGATAATTTAAAAAAATTAATAAATATGATAAATAAGTCTTATATTTAGAAACTCAACAATTAGATCTTATATATTAAGGAACAGAGGAGTATAAAATAAGCATCCTTCAATCATCATTGGAATATGAGTAGATGAAACTTATAAAAATATGCCAAATATGAGAGGTAAGCATGCTATAGAAGTATAGATGAAAACATCCATGAAAAGTATAAATTAACAAAATTACTTTTTCATTTTAATTCTACGTTGTTTGCCAACTACCCCATAAAAGTAATGCTTTAACACTCCATGCATTACAAATAAATTGGTTTGGATGCTCTACAATCAACGAGTAACTGCTAAAAATTTTATTGCTCATAAGTACTTGATACGTTTTTTTTTTAAAATAAAAAGTATCAGTACTCATAAAGATTTCATATACAGAAAATACTGGTATTCAAATTCAACTGCTTATGAGTAATAAAATTTTTAAACAGGTATCCATTTGTAATTTTTCTATCCATATAAAGTTGTGATGCTAATAAATCATATACAGTGCGACTCACCTCAAAGGCTCAAAGTCCATGCAACATATGAGCCTCACATCTATCGTCTCCATGAACAAAACAGAATGATCAAAGGTTCATTCCTCTGTATAAAATCATTGCCATAGGGCCAATCTCTACATGGATATATATAAACAAGTTAAGGAGCTAAAAGCAAGGAATATGGATTTTTCCTGCATGCCCAGCTCAAGCAGAGCAACATCCAGTTTTCTTCACAGCTGATACGTCATCGCGTGACCCGACATTAAGGGTCTGTCCTTTTGGTAAAGTTGTTGGATCATTCCCAACGTCGAGAGCTTTCTTGCTCACGATATGATAGATCTGCGTCAGCACTTCTGTGAAGGCATCTTCTACATTTGTGGATTCGAGAGCAGATGTTTCCATGAAGAATATGTTCTCTTGCTCAGCAAAAGCTTGAGAATCCTCAGTTGAAACCGCCTTTAAATGTTGAAGATCAGCTTTGTTCCCTATAAGCATTACAACAATATTGGCATCTGTGTGATCTCTCAGCTCCTTCAGCCATCTCTCCACATTTCCAAACGTAACATGACGGGTAACATCGTACACTAGTAAAGCGCCGACAGCCCCTCGATAATATGCACTTGTGATGGCTCGATACCTTTAATAAAAACGGAAAACAGCAAAATTAGATAGATATTTAAGATTAAAGTAAATGAAGATTTAGCTGATGCTACTTCTAGATGTTCTAGACAAAATTATGAATCAACAAGACATTTCGTTGCATGGGAACCACGTTACTTCACCATCTAATGATAGAGCTAATTTAATAATCTAATCATGTATTGAATGTTAATAAAGATTCATCATCGGAGACTAAATGCATTTTTACTTTTTCAAATGTTTCCATATCTACTCATGCATTTGCCCAGCACATATACTGAGCACCTGCTCATTATTCTCATATTTCTCTACGTTATGATCATAGAAGAGCAATATCATTCAAAAGCTGACAGTTAGCCGTGGGAAAAAGGCTAATAATGGAGCAAAGAAAGTCAATCATTTTCAGCTAAAAACATAATAAAGCCACAAAGCTCAGTTTACAAACTAAGAATGATTTTGAGCTAAAAACGGAATGGAACTACAAAGCTCAGTTTACAAACTAAGCAGCACTGCCAATGGCATCAGATCATAGGAAATTTAAACCGGCACAGAGAAAGCTAAGGGAAAACTTTTTATTTAGATCCCAAGATCCTCAAGTTGAGCTAAAGAGTTAACCATAGACAAGTTCTAATGGTACAGAATATCTAACCAAATAAGCAGATACAAGTTTTCCGGAGTTTTCTCGCAACATTTATT